GTAAAGAAGAGACGACACCCTTCAACCATGTTACGAGTGTTGATGTTGCATATTTTACTCACCAGAGGGCACTGCAGTTTCCTTTTTGGCCACATGGCACAAACAAAAACCAGCTGATCCAAGCAGAGTCAGAGTAAACAAGGTAATAAATGAGTAAACATAACAAATGTGTCTATTGAAAGAGATAAAAGGACTAGCATTAGCTAAAGGTAGTCACTTGCTTACATTAATCCCTGCCTGTCCAAGGTGCTTTGCAACCCACCCCCATCCCAGGTCCTTCAGTTCGAGCTGTTTTTGCTTTTTCTGACCATCTCCATTGTTATTGTCAGCAGCTCTTGCAGTTCTTGCTACTGCTCTCTCTTCCTCAGGCTTTCGAGGCAAGTGGACAGCGGGGTAGGTCAGGCCGATGCAATGGAAACTACTGTATATAAATTACTGCAGATCTAATAAAGAGGCCCGACAGAGCTATGAGTCTATGCAATTTAATATTTTAACCATCTTCATGCAGAATAAAGGTTATAATGTGTTGAACATACTTGCACAATGAGTGTAAAGCAAGCTTGGAAACATAACGATTTAAAAGAAACGTGCAATAATTGGCAGCAAGTGTGAGCATTTGAGCATGATAAAGTTATTTTAAAGAGAAATGCTTGTTGTTTATTTAGACAGACGTGGATTAATATCTAGGCCAGAGGCCGTCCAGTGGTCAGTGAGCACCGACTGTCTTCTTGCCCTTTTCCTCCACTGTTCACTCTGAATAATGACCGTTTCAAACAGGTCACACTGATCTGGATATTCTGTTAAAGTTCAGAGTGACACTGAACAGAGTGAGCCTGGGACAGCTTCTGCTAATCTGTGTGAATAAATTACAGCAGCTAGAATTTAAACTTTTTCCGGGGTTTTGTGGTTTTTTCAGAGTTCAGATTAACTTTTAAGCTGAAACCATGTTGATTTGTATTCCTTATTATACCCAAATGACACCCATAATCATGTGTGTATACATCCTCCAGTGTTAGTCTCTCACTGGTAACCTGAGGCAGTGTCATGAATGTGTGTCTCCCTCTGCAGGAACCTGCAGGAAGAGCACCAGCTGCGTCCAGCCTCGCTGCCAGCCATCCCCAACCCTTTCCCTGAGCTCTGCAGCCTAACTGGATCGCCTATTCTGAGCCCCATACAGACCTCTGACAACCATGTAAGTTCACCTACACACATGCCACGTGCACCAGCACGCAATCACTGAAAATGGTACAGCTGATTTTGTTGCTCATGTTAATTAGATCTTGCATTTGTGTTAGTGTGTGTTTTCAAACCAGCTGACTGGCCTGTTATGTGCGGGTCAGAGCAGCATGTGTTGACTTTGGCTGCGCACATCCTTTATCCGTTACACAACAACTCAGCCGGGGTTATCTGGCAGTACATGTGTGTTATTGTGGAATCATCATCAATCACATTTACACACGCATGCAGACATGTGACGGACATGTTTTGCTGTGGAAGAACGAGGTGAGCCGCGTCTCCAGGATGCTGTGGACAGAGTGCAGACTTCCCGTGGCAGAGCCAGGAATACGGCTGGGAACATCTGCAGGTCGGATCTCTCTGAACCTTCTGAATCCGTCTGCTGGCTCCGGCAAGACAGGCGCCCTTTTCCGGTTCACACGCTTCAACCTCGGCTCCTAGCGTCACTTCGAGAGAGTGTGTGTGTGTGTGTGTGCGTGTGTGTGTCACAGCCTTGCCCTTCCTTCCCCCTGCTGAGCCTCCTGTCCCAGGAATGTTCCATCCTCCTCAAAGATGTTTTCAGGATGCCCACCCTGAACAATAAAAGTTATTTTAGATGCTTATTCACTCGCTCGCTTTCTTTACATACACATGCACACTTTTTTGTGTGTGTTGTTAACGCAGTTATACACACACAGGTGGCATTATTCAGTTCACACACGCACAGAGACATGTGATAAGCCAAAGCATTATTTTTGCATTTCGTTGACATCAACTCACAAGGTCTGGAGTCAGAGAGCAAGTTTGCAGTTTGTACAAAGGATCTTTTGTGTGCGCGGTCGAGTCTGTGAGAGCTGACTAAACATTGCTTCATTTCTCTTTCCCAGATCATCTTCATTTCGTCCGCAGTTCTTGTTCGTTCAGCGAGCCAAATAACCAGCCAGTAGCAGTTACGTTTCTATTTCTCTCTTATCTCACGCGGCTTTAACTTGTGCTTTCTGTCCAGTTATTCATACAGATAGTGGCTGAGGCTCGTGACCACTTTAGAGCAGGCAGGACATTCTTTAACAGTGCTTAAATGCACAAAAACAGGATGGCGGTAGTATTTCTTTTTAGGCGATAGAGCTTGTGGAAGGAGTATAAAGCATGTTTATCATAGTCAGCAAAAGCATTTTGTCCAAAGGAGGAGATGAGGTGGCTGTGAAACTGATAAATGTGTGGCTGAGGGTGATGGGGATCATGGGAACTGGACACCACCCATGTAAAGAAACATCTCCACTGATTGTCAGCAATGATTCATTAATAAATAACTGGGATGGCTGTGTCAGGCGGGTGGATGGCCGTGGACTTCAGCCAGCCAACTTCTTGACTTTGGCTTTTATCTCTTTGGTTTAGGGTCTCATAGCTGGTGCTTGCAAAAAATCCAGAATAATTTTTTAAGTAATTTTAATCATGTTTTCAATCGTAGGAGTCTAAGCAATAGATATAGTTCAGTTTTCAAGAGGTTTCTGGCAGCAGCCTTCTGACAACATGTTCAATCCTCCCAACCAGCTATTTGGTTTAACTCCACTCTTAACACTTGTTGTAAATACTTTTTGGAAACTGGCGCCATCGAAGGACTATTCCTTGCTAAACTGCTAAAGCCCTATTCATGCAGGCTTAGAGACCTGCCTGAATGGGTGTTTGCTGGCTGTTGTTGCAGAGTTGTTGCAAACTGGTTGCAGAGAGGTGTCCTACACAGAAACCGTCCTTCTGCTAGCAAACAAATTAATCTCAAGGAAGTTTTGGGTGTGACTAATAACCAGCAACCACACACCAGCTGGTCAGGAAATACACATTTATTTCTAATTACTGCATATTATCAGGTTAGTCTCCAAACCATAATCGACTGAGGTCCTAATCAACCAATCATCAAAGTGCTAAAGTTTTATGGACAAAATTGAAATCCGGCAGCACGGTGGTTAGCACTGTTGCCGCACAGCAAGAAGGTCCTGAGTTCAATTCCACCATCAGGCCGGGGTCTTTCTCGTTGATAAGACACATTTAAAATGCAGCCAATTGTGTTTATTATTAAAATTTTGGGGAAATAGAAGGGGTGGGGGGGGGGGGGGGTTTGGGGTCAAGGAAAGGGATAGAAAGGAGGAAAGGGATAGGGGAGAGAAAACCCCAACAATCCCCTCTGAGCAAGCACTAGGTGCGACAGTGGATAGGAAAAACTCCCTTT